ATTATTTATAGTTATTAATTTCTATAAAGTTCAAGTCAGAGTTTGGGCCTTTCCATGTATCGACCTGGAATGCTAGTTGCCGGACGTCTGCGTTTATAAAAATAATATTTTATAATAAGTTTTATTTTATTTATATTATGTGATTAAACTATATTATTATGAACATATTTTATATTGGATAATATATTAATATAATATACTCTAATAAGAAGTATAGTAATACTTAGTACAGTACAGTACTACTAGTATAGTATTTCGTTAGTAATAGAAATATTATTGTTTCCGTATTTGTTGTTCTTGTAATTTTAGTGGCTCAGACACAGACACACGGTGTCCGGCAACTAGAGGGGAAAAATTGTATCGTCTGAAAGCACTCTTGGTAAAACTCGTGGTAAACAAAATTATTAATAGAATCACAATATTATAATTTTATTTATAAAATATAAATCGTTTCCGACCCATGCGATCGAAAATAGTACAATATGGTAATAAGTAATTATCAGACACAAAAATAAAATATTTCAAAAATAATTTTTTAAACATAAAATATATAGATAAATTTTAGCAGATGACTGAAATCTTATCTAAGATAAATAAATAGATAACATTTAGATTTTTATCTAGATAAGTCTCAACACTGCATATTACATTGTTTACTCATCTAGCGCTTGCTCCCTGATAAATATATTATATGATGTGTTATAATTTACATTCATGTAGATCTAATTCTGTGATTTTATTACTCGTTCATACAAGGTATTTACAATATGTCAGAAAAACTGCCCAATCCTAGACTACTGAGCACAAATCTTGTCAACGACGAAAACTTGACTGACGACGCAAAAACGATGGTTATGGCGTATTGGACACTTTTCATAGGTCACGATCTAGCACACACGGCAATTTCCACCATGGGTAAATAAATGAAACACATAAAAATATATTATTTTATATTCAGATTTATTATAATTAATGCATGCGTATAAAATCCATAGGGAATAATAGGTTTGTTAAATGTTGTTATACTGATGGAAGTATGCAATATAAATTGAACAAACATTTAAGATCGTGCAAGCCCATTTCGATACCGAATGATGATAGATTTTTTAAACCAGGACCTCACAGGTGCATGAACTACGTGCGTTCGCGACCATCGGTGCACTCCAGTTGCACATTTGGACCTATGGAACAAGTAACAACCATTCTTGATCAGTGGTCCTCAACCTTTTTATAGTCACGTACCACCTACACAATTTGAAAATTTTTAAGTACCACCTGACCATTTTTTTTGTTTATTAATAATGTATACGTTTATGTTATATGTATAGAATTTTGTTAATAAATTAATTTTTTATAAAGATAGATTTTCTTCACGTACCACCTATAAGCTTTCCGCGTACCACAGGTTGAGAACCGCTGTTCTAGATAATACCATATTAATTATCTTAGATTTATATATTTATATTTATTTATTTATATGTATACAAAAATGGAAAATTTCTGTCTGACTGTTTGTCCTTTATGAATTCCTAAATGATTGGGCCGATTGCGAGAAAATTTGGTACAGAGATATTTTAGACCTGTGGGCAAAAGATAGGCTAAGTTAAAAAGTGATAGGTTCAACCTCGGGAGGTGCTCAAACACGCATTTTGAGATTTACGATGGAAATTTTTGTTTATTTATAAACGGTTAATATTATATAAAAATATATCCTTGAATAATTATTATCGGTGAATTTTGTAATCCGTGAAAAATTCTACCTCTTATACTCGTATGTGTTTTTTGAATTTTTGTTATGTCATTTCTAAGCAGTTATGCAGTTATGCTTCGCAAAAAATGATCGATCGGTAGTTGAACCTCTCAAATATGAAAGAAAATGGCAATACAAGCTTATCAGAAATATATATATATATATATATATATAAATTAATTTCTGTCTGTTTATCCTTTATGCATTCCTAAAGGCTGGACTAATTGTGATGAAATTTGGTACAGAGATATATTAGACCTATGGGCAGAAGATAGGATAAATTAGAAATGATAGGCCTAAAATTATTCAATCRAATATTTTAATTATCAGRCTGTTCTTGATAAAAAGAATAAAATTACATAATGATAAACTAAATTCAACATCGTTGTAAGATTATAAGCATATTTTAACCGTTATCTTTCTATATACATAAAAGTTATGTTAGCAAAATGACAGGAAACGAATTTTAACACACAGTGTGAGACATACAGGGATCTGACCCTGAAGAGTTAGGATTTTTAACGGGCTACGAAGTGCACGGGTTCAGATGGTATTATTATTATAAGAATTGAAATTAAATAAATAATTACACTTAGTGAAGCGATTATAAAGGGGAAGGGAGTAAGGTTATGAAGGGTGTTATAGGATAGGAAAAATTACTGAAAAATTTTAACAGCAAATTGTGTAGGTATGTTAAACAAATAATTATCTTTTTGGTTAATTTAATATGTTTTAAATACACGTTTCAACTCCAATTAAAAATTTAAAAAAGCGAATTAAACTACAAAAAACACTGTACGCGGGTGGTACAATTATTTCCAGTATTTCAGTGTTTAGAACTGATTTTGTGCACCACATAAAAAAAMGTACCCATTATTCAACTCATGTTTATGTTTCACAGATGAACCAAGCTACTCATTACTTAGATGGGTCAATGATATACGGTTCATCGGAACAACAGACGTTGTCGTTGAGAAAAATGTCGGGTGGTGAACTTTTAACGAACTCAATCAATACCGACCAGAGGTATATGCCACTGGAAACCACCGAAACGGACGCGTGCCAGCATGACAATGGCACGTGTTTCAGAGCTGGCGATATCCGGGCAAATGCTTTTCCCCAATTGGCGGTTATGCACACACTGTGGGTGAGGGAACATAATCGGATAGCCAGGGGACTGGCCTATTTCAATTCGCACTGGAATGACGAACGCATTTTCATGGAGTCCAAGAAAATTGTAACGGCGTTCATACAGCATATCACGTACAAAGAGTGGTTGCCGGCGCTACTCGGCGTAAACTACACCCAAAACAACGGGTTAGGACTGTTGGAGGTTGAATACAGCAACACGTACAACGAGACTGCCGACCCGACTGTTAGCAATAGCTTTGCGACCGCAATACTGCCATTTGCCAATTCTATGCTCAGCGAAACTATTAGGTTTGAAAATATTATTATTTTTATTGTGATGCGGATAGCGTATAACGGATTGATGATTTTAAAGAAAACTTTGAACAATTATATAATTATTCAAAAATGTTTCGAAAATTTAAAACCAATGTGTACATGCGACAATATTGTTATTTTATTTCACCCATGTGAACCCGTATCAGCTTTTGATTTTCAAACGTCGAACTTTACATTTAAATTATTTTCTTACAATTTAAATATTCATTCGAATATTATAGTGTAATGATCCAATATATTTTGTAATTTAGATATTTGTAAGAATTGAATTTTAGTAAAGTTACAAATTTACGAATTTAAGGCTATATCGTTCTTATCTACAATAATTATTCTTACGAATAAATAAATATATTGTTTCAGTATTTAATTTATTAATATATCAAAAATTTAAGATTTTACTTGCAGACATTCAATAATATTATCATTTCAAAAAAGTAAAGCTTTATTAAATTGTTAATTATAAATTTAATGTTATACGTGTTTAGTCTATACAGGGAAAACCGAATGAGGTATGCAAGTCTTTCGTTAAAGAATCATTTCAACCGTCCAGTTTATGTACTGATTACCTACATGGATCAACTTGTTAGAGGACTGACCACTCAGAATACACAAAAAGTCGATATGCTATTTACACAAACGGTATAGTTTTAAAGCAGTGTAAAATTTGTTTTTTTAAACCATCAATGATGATAACGTTAATTTTATAGAATATACACTGTATTACACAATGTTTACATTATTATTTTGGGTACTTGTTTGTTATCGACCCGCCAGTGTTAAATAAAAAAATTATTATGTCAGATTGTTGGAAACMCTGTAATAATTTGCAGCAAGCGAGATTCATGCATAATACCATTAACCACACCTATAATTTTGTTGATCCGTACACAGGGGTTGCACACACCCAAAGTATCGAAAGGTTATGGGGTTCTGCAAATTGGGGAAATAAAAAGCGCRTGGAAATAATGTAAATTTTTTGGAGTCCTATTTGGCTGAATTTATGTGGAGAACACTTCTCGGGAAACAAGATGCATTTCAAGCTATTTTAAAAGATATTTCAGAGTTCTGGCCTCCTTTGTAATTTAACATTATTTTGTTTAAATTTATAATTATGTTAAATTTTTAAAATTTGAATTTTATACTTCTATACTATTTTTAATAATATTAAATATTGAAGTTGTTTTTATATTTATTGTATTTTTTTATTAAACACTGGCGGGGCGATAATTTTTTTACGGGGCACTGGCGGGGCGATAACAAACAAGTACCTTATTTTGTAACATTAGTTTTTTGAATTTTCTTATAGTTAACAAATCATTTGTATAGTAAAGATTCAAGGAATTGGATAGGAATGGACATTTTTAGCTTAGATATACAACGGAGCCGTGATCACGGTATTCCAAGCTACACAAAATTTAGAAAATTTTGTGGATTAAAAGACATAAAAAATGTACAAGATTTGTCCGAGATTATGATGAATGGTGTAAGTTAAAAAAATTTAAATATTAAATAATAATTTACTAACCTAATTTATTAATTACTTTTTTCTGTGTGTTATATTTAGTTAGCCCATAAATTATTGAATCTATACACAACTTGGGACGATATAGATCTATTGGTAGGTGCTTTKTCAGAAAAACACGTTGACGACGCAATGGTTGGCCCAACAATGAGGTGTATTATTAGAGAACAGTTTGTAAGAACTAAAACTGCAGATAGATTTTTTTATGACTTACCAGGAGTATTCACTTTAGGTTAGTAAAACTGAACTAGTTTTAATGAATCAATTTAATCATCATATTTTTTTATAATTAAAAGATCAATTGAAAGAAATAAGAAAAATGACTCTTGCCAGAATCATTTGTAATAACAGTAATAATGTCACAATGATACAGAAACAAGCATTTTTGAAACTGAGTCCAGCTAATGATTTGCGGCTTTGTAATACCGAAATAATTCCGACGACCTTCATCAATCGTTGGTCAGAATTGGTCACAGTAGATCCAAAATCATCTCGTATAAAACATTGATAAATTTATATTAAAAAAACAATAATATTAGACATTAGTATCTAGTGGGTACCTTACTATCTATAATTTAATTTTGTATCTAATAAAGTAATAAACAATAACTATTAATTAACTCTTAGTTATACTTTATGCTTTAAATTTATTATAAAATGCTTTTTAATAAATATTTTTTTTGACTAATTATTAAAAGTATTTATCAAAAATTCAATAAAATATTTTTTTAATTTTTTAAATATATTTTTAGATTATTAAAATTCTATGATAAATATGATTATTAATAAGTTAAKCGTTTGTATTTTTTCTCATGGTGATAAGGTTACCTTATATTTTTGCAATGTTGCCATGATAGGCATTTAAAGTTCAAATTTAGACAAAATTAGATGTTTAAATTTAAATTTTAACATAAATTTGTTTTTAGGCCGGGTTGGGTRCAGACTATAGATATTTTAATTTACTAATTCTAATCGATTTTCGTAAAATTTCGTTGTTGTGGTCACTTTTTAAAATAAAACACGTCTGTGTCCCCAACCCCCCCCCATCCAAAGAAAATCTAGAAAATTTCTATCCAAATATTTTGTATGTCATTTGTATGAATTTGTTTGACTGTACTTAGAATTTGTACGACACTAGTATTCGAGCAGTATTGAAAATACTGAAGAGGGCTAATGACACATGTCTCCAGCCCCCRTAATATAAATAATTAAGTATTCATATATTTTATACTGCCAGATTCAATAACTCAATTTGTATGAATTTGTATGACCATWTTTGGAATTTGAATGCGACCCCCTCACGAGTTATAATCGAAAAATCAATTTTCCAGTGTCCCCCGCCCCCCTTCAACGGAATTTTCTACTTTTTCCTAGGCCAAACAATGAAACGCTATTTGTATGAATTTGTATGCGACACCCTCCCGAGATATAATCAAAAAACCAATTT